CCTCCTCTCTTCTTATGGGCTTCCGAAGGCAACGTTAGGCATTTTGGCTCGGCTTCAAACGCTCCCCAGAGCCTCACCGCAGCCTTGCCCTCTTCTCGGCAGCTGGTTGAATGCCAGCATTGGTGTGAAGCCCACCCAAGTCTCGCTGTTGAATCCCAGGAAGTTGTCAAGGTTCAACCGCCAAACCCTCGAGATGAAAAGGGGTCGGCGGCACCCGGGCGGAGCCCTTACAATAGTATCATTATTCATTGAAGCCTACCCCCGATAAACATCGATAAACACATAACAAAACAAACAGAATAGACCGGGGATGATAGGGATACGTGTTCACACCGCGCGACACCCCAAATCAATCTGTCTAGTATCGTCCGATCAACAACCATGCGCTGTGAACCACAGTCAGCCTTTGTGACTCAATGGTGTGTCATAGTCATCTTGGTCATTCTTGGTCTATGTCAACAGTCTTGCCATGTCATGTCCTGCTCCAACAGGTTCCGAATCGGCTCAGCGCAGCCAACGCCCGTCGAGTCGCCAGCTGATGCTTCTGCCTGGTGGCATCAATGGCCTCCCGTCGCTTGGAATTGGCTTAGGAAACTGGGGGGTCAAACATGTTCAAGCCCAGTTCCTTTTTTTTTTGCGTCCTTAAAGTGTTCAAAAAGCGACCTTCTGTTCACATTATTCATATGTTCATGTCATATATGATCGACCCATATGCAACATGGGCCTCCTAAAGCAGCGCCAGGCGTGAAAAGGTCTCCTCATGCAAGGCATGAAAATGATCAACCTGCATGTTCACCACAGGATTCTACTTCCCAAGCCACTGGTTGCTAGCTATGAAGATGGGTGGTGAGGGGATGTGTCTTAGCCGTTCCGACGTGCCCCGGAGACTTTCCGCGACCCCTGTTCTTTCGTGCAGCCTCGATCTCGCGCAGCTTGGGCGTCGCTTGGCCCTCCTGAGCGTGAGACCTGTCACTTGGACACCCATGAATTGCTTCTTGTTCCCAGTGGCTTCTTGCTCCTAGTGGCGATGCCAGGAGCCCCTAGTAGCGTCCTTGCTCCTAGTAGCGATGCCCTTTGCTCCTAGTAGCGAACATTGCTACTAATTGCCTTTGCTGGCAGGGACATGTTAGCGGCAAAAGACGACTGACGAGGGTATATGCTTTCTATAAGACATCCATTTTTTTGGGGAGGCAAGTCTTGAATTCACCTGCGTGCTTTCCGTCTGCAGCTGTTCGACTGAGCAGCTGCAGTTCCTTGCTCGTCAGCCGTCTTGTCCAGCAAAGGCTGTGGGTCTCAAACCATCTCAAACCCTGTAAGCAGTGGTGAACACCAAAACAACTTCTTAATGAATTAAGATATTTGAGGTGCTCATTCAAAGAAATTGCCCAATTAGGTGGTGTTCACATCATTTCACATCTACGTGCAGCTCAAAAACAAGCTGCAGCTCCCACCTTTAAAACATATCAAGACCCATCACAGATGGCCCATCACATCCTCACCCCCGGTCCTTGTCGTAGTAAGGACCTGCCAGGAAGCCTGAGCTGGGACCAGTCCAAATCAACCAACTTCCATTCTTCACACGTCCCTTGCGTCCCATGGATTCTGATGAAAGTGATCTCTCCAAGCTCTCTTAGCACTCACCTGCACCAGCGACGAAAAGCACAGCACCAACAGCCCGGATGCCAGCACGGGTTCCAGATTGGGTGCACCAGTTCCTTTTCTGTGCTCCAATGCCATCTCCCAGGTGAGAACAGAAAGGAGCAAAGGCCTAAAAGCTAAAAGCATCTGGAAAACCCTGGTGCCCACTGTCTGGTTGAATCCAAAGATGTGCATCCGAATTCCCTTCGTCTTTTTCGTGGCCAGGCGCCTGGCCTACAAAGCGATAATCGCTGTGGTTCCGGTAAAAGAAGCGCCAGCCTCGGTAAAAATATCGTGCTGCAACCCGAGATGATTTGTGAGGAGTCTCAGGTCCCTTAAACTCACGTTTGTTCGATAAACACCAGGGCAATTGTAACAATTCCAGTCCCACGGATGGTCTGGTATATGTAATGTCATGTCCATACAAACTTAAGTGCGTCGTCTTCGGTCAATCAACACCTCAGCCCACAGCTGATCACGTCTGCAAGCTGTTCAGGTGGCAAATCCCGGAGACCTGGGCGACACTCTCGGTTGGCTCAAACCCAAATGTTTCTTGGCAGCTTGGCTCATGTTGGTGCAAAGTCGTTGCAGGACAAAGTCTCACCCAAACCTGCCAGAGGCCATGTACGGCAGGTATTGTCTTAGGATCATCTGAAGAACAGTTTCTAGCCTCACCCATTACAGCCCTTTAGAAAGAAGGCTGCCCATCGGCCCATCCGCCTGGCACCGCATCCTTTTTGAAGTCACCCGTGGTAAAGGAACGGCTGGCATCCTGACCAAAGCGTCGACCAAACCACGAGGCTCAGCGCCGGTTGAAGCTTCGGTTCGGAGTCCCCGAAAAGCCACTGCACCCGGCATAACAACCATTGATGGAAGTGGAAGAAACACCTCTACTAATGGCTTGCATCGGTTTGTAGAGGCCAATCTTAATCCAAAAAGCCCTGTTGCACTTGTTCATCACTCCCATGTTTGTTTATGGGATGGTAAGTGTCTTTCGTTGGCGCAACATCGAAGGATTGTTGTCAATGGCAATAGCTTGATATTCAATCCTGGTGTTTGCCTTGTCACAGAGAATGCCAAATGATTTCAAAAAACACAACTCACCACTCTCGTGGATCACTGAAATTGAAGGACCTTCTCATCAGAAAAAAAAAACAACACATGAGAGGAGCCAACTGTCACGGCTGTCCAGCCAGCCTTTCCGGCCATACCACTGTAGCCTGCATCGGGGCCGTAGTGCCTCCAAAATTCGACTCGTACGAGGAGGGATATGTTTCTGCTTGCAATCCATGTGGGATGAATTTCACTTCCCAATCTAAGTGAGAATTCCACAAATATGCAAAATCCAAGATCTTCCAACACGTATCCCAGTCCAGTGCTCCAAGCTCTCTCACAGCTTCTCATCCAAGATCTGACTTCATCTGACTTCCTCGTTCGTGTCCATCGCCTCTCCCCTGGGCCCACGTCGTAGACCTCTCCTAGGATGGCCAGCAGCAAGGGCCTGACCAGGTGAGGAAAGTGTACAAACGGGCCATGGAAGAAATCCCACCAACACTATAAAATGCATTGGTTAAATTGGTTGGATAAGATAGTCAATCCAACCTGATAAGAAATCCAACCATATCTTGAATATTGGTCAAATTCATAAAGTTTAAAATGGTTGGATCTTTTCAAGATATTTGGAGCCCCAGAAACCCAGAACGGGTGGTTGAAGGGACACCCGTAATGGATAAAAACGACCTCCTACAATCTGCCGGATGATGTTGGATGCCATAGGTTCCACTGAGAGATGCTTTCTCTGGCAAGCTCAGGTAGCTTTGGCCAACTGATTCTTACCCTCAATGGGAAGTTACCAGGGGATTGCTGCCGCCCCATCTCTTGACCCTATGTTTCCACGACTGATGTCTGTCAATGGAGGAACCACCGCATTGAGAATATTGGGTTGGTCTCCAAGACATTGGTCAAGTTAGGGTGAATGCTATATTATCCTCCACGACACTGAGCGTATCGCAATCTGAAAATCAGGGGAATGGTGTTTCCAGTGTGATGCCAACGGTTTCCATCTTTTTTCAGGAGCGACAGGACCAAACCCTTCCAATCCGAAGTCTGAAGAGCAAAACGTAACGACGTTTGGTAACGACGTTTGAAGCAGTTCTGCATTGTGTGCATGAGGTCCATGTAACTTCAGCTGAACCCATCGCTGCACCACCGATCGCCGCCACACCTGGTCCGATCGCTGCCGCTGTGTTCCGCCAACCGGTGGACCGTCCAAACGGGGACGGCCTCAGCGTCGGCTGCGTCCGCTGTCTGGACTGTTCTGGCATGAGAGACGACGAAAGAGGCGGGTGCTCTTAGGCCTTAGGCATGGTGTTTCCTTTTCTTTTGCTAACATTTTACATCGACCAGTGCTCTTTTTACCACACATCGGTCCAAGTAACGAACGTAACAATACAACATACAATCTCCGTAATAAACTATAGGACATTGGCTTTGGAATGTGTTCCTTGTTAGGTGAACACGTGATATAAGGGAGGGCAACATAGTAATAGTGCAACGAACATATTTGCAACTTCCCTTAGCTGTAGACTACAGTGATCTACTTGGGTGATTCCTGTCACAACTTTGCCGCGTGGGTTCTGCTCAAAATCTCACCATCACCCCCAATTAGAAGGCCCTTAGCACCAAAAGCTCTTCTCTGGTGAGAACATTCACGTGCATCAGACTCACAGCAGGTACCGTCAGACCTTCAAGCCAAACAGCCTCTTAGGGAGGACAACTGTCCATGTTCCCTTCCCGGCGCTTCCCGGCATCTTTCCAGGGCAATTCGGGAAAGAAAGCTCTATATTCTGATAGAATTTGTCATGTCATCCTGGGACATGATGCATTTCTTGTACATGATACATTATAGCATCATTTAGCTTGCCCCAATTCTTCCCCAAATCTGCTACCGACTCTGACCCCGCTACGCGAAGTCTGAGCGAGCTCACACTGGCGTTCCGATCTTCTGCCGGGAGCCGCGGATATGGAGGGCCTGTCTTGATGAGTGCCGAAGAGACACAAACAAAGACAGAAACAAACCAAGTGGTCGTTCGCAGTCTCAAAGTACTCATCAAATACTCATCATCAAATACTCATCAATATTATATAGATAGTGTCTATCTTTTGGAATTTGGCCACTTTGTGGTACCATTTTGGTGGATACCTTGAGACTCCAGGCATTTCATTTGATCAAGCGAATCTCATGGTTGAATATTAAGTTATAGTCGTTTCATGCACGCAGCAATAAATTCTTCGACAGGCTATAGTATGTTCGCCTGGAAGCTCAGGCGAGAGGTCAAAAAAGGACTTCCCCTACCAGTACCATTGGGTTTTCGTCCACTTTGGATGAGCCAGTTGAGATCAGTTGAGTGCTTTATCACTCAGCCCTGCTCATCATCTATTTTCACTGTGCAGTGTCTCCTGGGGCTTCATCACCCTTTGTCGCGCACGTGGCGTCCGCGAGTGGCGCCTTTGGTTTTCTGCCCCTTGCCACTCTTACTCTTGGAGCTGTTGGCCTGCGGTGCATGCGAGCTGATTCTAGCTTGTCAGATAGGCCCAAGATGGCCCAAGCACGCCCAAGCCAAGTCGATTCATGTCCATTTATCGAAATTGGGCATTCGATGGCATTTGACTTTGTTAATTAATGAGGGGTCCTCGAGGGATAGCGTGATGCAAATTGGCTACCCTTGCTCAGTGTTTTTCTCTTCACTGACTGCTCAGTGTTCACTGACTGTGGTCATTGTCGTCTGCATGGTTCACCTCGCCGCACCTCGCCGCTCTCCGTGGGAGTGACATCTGGAGCGTCTTTGCGTCTCCTTTCACGAGCACAAGGAGCGCTGGCCCAAACACATCGGCACACGAACCACGGTACACGGGCAAAATGGTTCGCCTTACCACCCCTGAGAGTTTTGGGATGTTTTGGGCTTTCTGGGGTTCTGGGACGGTCTAGGGTGGGCTGTCTGATGTGAGAACTGCACCAAATCCCAAGATCCGCCCACCATCCTCCACTCATGTTCGTGACGTTCCTCTCATACGACCCTCCAAGACCCACTCCTATCACTCGGCTGCAGGAAGTAGGCCAGAACCTGAAGTGAAGCGCGATCAGGAGCCCTTGACAATGTGGAAATGTAATTGTTCAGTCAGCCAGAATCTGACAGTTGACTGGCCTGACCAATTAACCCCGGTGTAGAGATCCAAAGCTTCTGCTTGAAGATCAGAAGATTATGGAGTCATATGATATGGATTCTATAAATCTGCAGTGAGCTCATGGCAATGTAAAGGTTTTTCATGGTTTTTCAGATCCACTTTTTGAAGGATGGTCAAAACTCAATTGATGCTCACAACGTGGGCTTTTTGTATGACTGACTGTCTCCGATGCCCAGCCCAAAATCAATCGTAAACGTTGGAATCTACGACTTGCTCACACAATCCCAATGCACCACCCATCCGCAATGTTGTTTATACAGTCATATTTAGTCCATTCCACATCTGGGTGTGCTTTTGAAGAATGTTGAAAAGGCACAGAGTGACGTTTAAATGTGTGTGAGTGTGTGTTTGTTTTTTTGGGGGGGTCTTAGACATCCTGCTGCTATCCTATCTGCAGCTGCAGTCGGCTGCCATCTGGCGACTTCTCAGGCCATGTGGCGGCGAAGCAAGCGACCACTGAAGCTACCCTCCACATGGCTCGATCATCAGCACCGCTCTGAGATGCGAGCACACAGTCGCTTGGGTGGATTGTCCCACTCAACAATACTCAACAGCTGACCTGGCCCGTTCAGTATGATATGTCAAAGCAAACATTGACAGTATGATACAGTATGGAGTGCTCATGAGTGCTCTGAAGATAGCAAATCCATGCAAAGCAGCCCGTGAAGATTGAGTTGTTGCTCCTCTTCCACAGTACATGGCACTCACCTCGTCTGCTTGGCCATGAACTCATGTCTTGGTGCCAAATCAGATCGTGTTGATCGTTCTGTCTCTTTTGACCTTTCTTCGGCTTTATTCAACGGCTTCGGCCTTTTTTGTGATGACAGTCACTCTGGATCGTCATGATTTCTTCGTCCCGCGGACTGTGGGCCATGGAAGTGGCCCCAACCGCGGCAGTGGATTGCAGACCCTGGAAGGAACCTCGACCACGTCAACCAGTTGAGTCATGTTGGGTAAGCCTTGATCGAAAACAAGTAGTGAGACGTGTAGTTTTTGTGGAGTCTCAAAAAGCGGAACATGACACAACGGGCGTTGGACGCCCGGCACCTCCTCGAACGAAAACCTCCTTTTATCATCTTTTATCCACTGCATGCCCAACCTTTCCGACGAGAACATTCCGTATAAGCCAGCTGTGTTGGAAAGCAAGATCTGCGTATCGCAAGGCTTCCTGGGCCTCATGCAAAGGGCAACGCCAACACACAGGGTGTTTCCGATGTCTGTCGAATCCGATGTCCGAAGCACAGCCAGCTGTCCGTGAGACCAGTCGCTCTGCTCACACGACCCCCGGTGCAACTCGATGGGAAGCCTCCGTCCTGCGTGCGAGTCTTTCCGTGTGTGGCCCTAAACCCGAAAATCAGAGTCGAACAAAGACTCCCCCCGTTCCACATGAAAATTATCAGCAGTGATAGTAAGATGTAAGAAGGAAGAACATGTTCCAAACCACTCGACATGTTCTAAACCACTCGACAGAGAGTTCACACCCCTCGAAGTCGAGACTAGAACTGCTTGACGTGTTTTGCATTGTTTCGCTCTTTTCCTTGGTTTCCAATATAACTTTGGTTCCAAACTGGTTGGTTTGGCAACGTTTCTCATGACCACACTCTTGACTCTTGACAACATCCAAACACAATGTCCAAATGAAGCTATTCAATTCCGGCTGTTCCAGCTCATTCCAGCAAAGCCTGGTTCCCCTCCGGTGGCATTTCCAACCTATCATCGTGGGGTCTCTCGCACCATCGCGGTATGACCAAACTGGTGAAAAACACCTCTGCAGGGCAGGGGTCTTACTTATCGAAAGACTTGGAATTCTTGTCTTCTGAACGTCCAAAGACTTGGAAGACTCCTGGACAACCGGTCGTGCCGTTTGTCCCAGTCCCGACTGCACTGCGTCAATGCCGGCGCCGGGAGCGCGAGTGCGAGCGTGAGCTGGAGCGACGCCGCCTGAAGTCTCCAAAGAGTGGTCGGTGCTGGTTGGTGACGGAGACAAAGGACATGTGTTGTTGCTTTTCAACTAATCCAAAGTTATAGCCTATAGCTACTACAGTATATAATTTAGGCCTAGTGAAAGAGGCCTCTTTATTAAAGGATATTAAAGGCCTATGCCTTGGTGGTGGAGGAGCATGAGGGTGTGTATTGGACATGCAATTATCAAGCAATGCGTTAGTCAACAGTCGATGGGGCGAGCCTAGAGCGGGGCAGGTTTGCCTGTCGGAAGGCATGTTAAGTACTACCTGCAAACATCCGCAGATTCTCGCAAGATCTCGCAAGCATCCTTTCGACATGTAACTTGTGAAATACCGAAGAAGCAGGGGTGCCGTTTTGGGCCAATTAGACAAAATAGTAAGAGACGTGTGTTTCTCATGGTCTCTCCCGCAAAAAGCCCAAACAAACTATACATATTGAGGCAGGAGATATTTGGAGTGTGCTAAGGATTCCATCCTGTTTCATCCTGTCTTCCCCGATGTGCTTCGTCTCCAACACAGCCTTCGCTCGCCCGGTCGCCCGCGCCTGCTGCGGCCGCGGCGGCTGCGGTCGGGCTCCGAGGTCGGAGGCCTCGGTGGAACCGTCAGGTGGTATGGACATGCATGGAATCCGTTGTGGATGAAGTATGGAATTTGGGTCAGTCTATCCCAGTATCAGTGGATGATGGTTAGATTACGGTTAGATATGGTTAGTAAAGGCCTTTCTCTCAAATAGTGATAATTGATGATAATTGTTGACCGAGTTACAGGTAATAGGACAAACCCAATGGAATGAAAAACAGTATTTAATAGATGAACTAATCTCGGGGTTCTTTTTGAACCATTATAGTAGCTTGGTGGCAGCCTGGACCCGTTTTGGGGGGAAGCCGGAAGCTGGTATTGGATGGCTGTTGGGGTCTATGGTCTTTGTACAGGCGGAGCTTCACGGAAGGAACGCTCTTGGAGGGATAATTCGTCGGGTCTGAGAAAACCTGAGATGTGGAAGGGTCATCCAACATCATCCAACATTGCACTGCACTATGCACATGGCTGACCCATGCTACACTGAATGTCCAGGCTCTCATCACACGCATCCACTGCATGTTGATAGATGTTAACAATATGTTTCAATGTGTTTCCCCACGCTCCTGTGCTTTTCAGCGTTGTTTGTACTTCAGCGTTGTTTGGACCTACAACTACCCTCAACCAACCGCTAGGCCCGGAGTTCCAAAGGCCCGGACACGTGCCCTTCAACGTCAGACGTGGTCCGGTGGCGCGTGGTCCAACCGAACTGCATTGGTGCTGCTTTGATGCCGCAGCTCGTCTCCAAACAAACCCAACAGGCAGGACCAATGGTGTCTCTTTCTTGGCAGGACCTTGTAGGAGTTGAATCTCGGAGAATTCGGCGGAAAGGTCTACTAGGGCTCGAGTTTTCCTCTATCAGGCTATGGTGTGTTCACCTAGGATGGATCTCGACATGAAGCTGCTTGGACGCTGCCCAGTTGGTCATTCTACAATGATGACCTCAAACCCAGAACCATCAATTGCCAAGGAGCTCTTTATCAAATAGACATCATTGTGGAAGTGGGAAAAGAAACAAAAACATGCCTTCTTGTTACTAGGAGCATCCTTACTAGTAGCGTCCTTGCTCCTAGTAGTAAGGCCAGGAGCCCTAAGTAGCGTCCTTGCTCCTAGTAGCGATGCCGGGAGCCCCTAGTAGCTTCTTGTTCCTGAAAAAAAATAACACCACCGTCCACCGTCCGTGGTTTTCGGAAAATGGTAATCCTTTCGGCCATTCTTTTTCGGTGTCCGTGACGGCGACCTTCGGCGACTGAGGCGTCACACCCCGGGTAGGCCGCAACTGACGGCGGAGCGCCTGAAAGACTCTGGATGCAGGGTCGATCGAGAGAGGTGCGGGGCCTCACCGGTGAGGTCCAAAAGAAGTGGAAGGCCGCTGTAACAATGAGTTGTTGGAAAAAGCAAAATTTCGGTCATGTTGTTCGGTCTTGGGTCAATCATGGTCAATCTCTATAATCTATACCTGAAGCTTAGGGGCAACAATATTGCTCAGAGCCTAGATTCAAATGGCATGCCCAGGCGCCAAGGAAGGACACAGAACTTTGGCTGTCTTGTTGCCAGATCAAATAAGAATGATTATATGAATCAACAACAATGACTTCGCCAAAGGGAATTTGGAAGATGGTCTGGAACCATACCATTTCCTGCACGATGCACAAAGACGCTCGATGCCTACAGGGCCTACAGGCCAAAACAAACCTGCAGCCCCGATGTGTCCATCCAATACGTGTTCTTCTAGCTCTGACCGTAGCTGCTGAGACGGCTGAAACGGTCTCCGCACCTGCATACTCCTGCGGATAGTATGCAGCAGGCCTGATGGGTACAGAACATGCCATCAACCACAATTGGTCCAAAATGTCAGCAAGAATCCAGGACCGGGACATAAACAGATTGAATAAGATGATGCTAAATGGCGGTCTGTGAAAGCATCTGTCGACTGATGCACTGACGCCGTCGGATCATCTTGTCGCTTCGAGGAGTGGGGATGCGTCGGAGTCCTCGTCTTCGATTCATGTGTCTACAATGAGTGAAGGGCCTAGCATGGCCTAGCCATGTCCATCTCCAATCAACCGTAGAGTCCATTTTGTTGAGCCACCCAGTCACTGACCTAGCTAAGCGAGGCGTGCTGCATCTCCAACCAGCCCTAGGTGATTTGGACTGACCTTGAATATCCTTGAATTGAGAATCTCTGCGGCAACGCTGTAGGAGAAGACAAAGGGTTTAACCCCTGGCTTAAAGAAAAATTGAAAGGGAATGAACACCTCATAAGATTGAACAAGTACCCTTTGAACAGGCATCAGCGTCTCTTCCAAGAGGTTAGACACCGGACGAAGCAATGTGGTGGTAATATTGCAATGAGGCATACGGCATGATGGCAAAAGCTTTCAGCACCAATACAATTAACTTGTCCTGGCTTGTTGTCGTTCCGCTCATGTGAAGTTTCGCACGGAACGGACGTCCGACGTGCCCTGAACCGGGAACCGGTGAACCAGTGTGGACGCGCCCGTGACTTTCCGCGCTGCCTTCCATCCGGTGCGGTCCGGGGATCCTGGGCAGTGGAAGTGGAGTCCAAGGACTTCTGAGGCAACTGGTGGAAGAACCAATTGAGAGGTTCTCGATGATGACCTTTTGCGACCCGTAATATGTGGTGATGAACGTCGTGATTCAATGCGGCTCGTGTCCTCTTTCACGGGCTTTGGTTCCTCCCCAAACACTCCATGGGACTGCCATAGGACGGCCGATCAGTTGGGGTGGTTTTGGGGGTCAATCGATCGGCAGTCTTATGGCAGTCCCATGGAGTGTTTGGTTTCTCAAACATGCATTTCCTCCTATTCTCGGCATCTCATCGGACGATGACTGTCGCGGCCGAGAGTGAACACCTGCCGGCCGACGAGAGTCCGGCCGACGAAGGGGACCCACGTGATTCACTCAGGAC